GAGGCAAGGAACACCATGGAATCAGGTTTACAGTATTAGAGAAAGTTGATTGACTGGGGCCAGGTTGGATTGTCTCGGCTCAGCAGAAGAGGAAGTTTCTGAAACTGGAAGCACATGGATTGTGGGGAGAAGAGTATGGCACAGACCAAACCTCATCATACCTCCCTACATAATCTCTGAGGATCTGAGACCACAATTAGACATATGAGCACCAAAAGGAAAATCTACTCTAATTTAGCATAGAAATGCTAAAGCTTATTCTAATGATTAAGAAAGAACACAGGAGTAAAGTAAGGACTTGATTTGAAACTCTTTGCCTTGAACTTAAACTCCCAGATTTGCTTTCTCCCTTCTTTCCTCCTTGCTGTCCTTCCTTTCTTCCCCTCTTCCTCCTTCCCTCTTCTCCTTCCTTCCTTCCTCCCTCGCTCTCTCACTCTGTTCTTACTTATGTCTCACTGCAATTCCAGGAGCTCGACTTTCCCTATGAACCTGGCCAATGGGGAAACCCATTTCTGGCCTGTTGGGTCTCTAGACCAACTTTCTCCTCACATCTTCCTTTGAATTTCCCAAAAGGCAGCAGCAGAAAGCTATCAGTCTCCAAAGTAGTCACAGGCTCTCGGCTTGTGAAGTCGAATTCAGTCATTTACGTACTCAGTCGATGTTGACTGAGAACCTACTTTGTACAGGGTATTGGGAACACGACCTTGAATAAGTCATTGCAACTCCATAAGGAGCTTATCCTGGAGGAGGAGACAGAGAATTGCATCGTTCGGGCAGTGGAAGGATTGTAGAGAAGCAGGGAATGGGGCTGAGGAAACAGGGTGAGAGGTTTAGAGAAGCTTGTTTGGGGAAGTGACATTTGAGCTATGGTCTAAAAGAAGAAAGGGAGGGAGGTCATGGCGACATGGAAAGATTGGGGAGAGAGTTCCAATCATAAAAAACAGCAGGTGCATAAGCCCCAAGGCAGAACGAAGTAAAATGACTTTTGCTGGGAATAGAAGAACACCTTTCACTAGGGACTGCCCTGAGGATACCAATTTCGCGTCACCAAAAAACGTATTGGTTCTTTCTATGCTTATATCACGAGGATAGGATACGAGAAATTTAAATGCTTTAGGGTGGTAGGACCAAGTTCTGTTCCCAGGGAAGGTTATATAGTCCTAGAGTTGGTTACACATGAGTGACTTTCGTTTCATTTGTCATTGGGAAAAAAAAGAAAACACATGATTTCTGACTTCTGCCATTTCTATTGTTTACAGTTCATATCCTTTATTACTTGTCCCTCCCTTCTTAATCCAAGGTAAGCTTGGATCCCAGAGAATAAGTGACCACCAGACATGTGGTGTCTTATTACATGTCTTATTGCAATGTCACACTTGTGCATCTGTGTCCGTGAGGTTCCATGAGCCCCCTGTTCTGATTGGCTCATTTATAAGATCAACCAAGGGAAAAAAGAATGCCATGGAACCATAGGCACATTGCAATAGCTAGTGGTAATTCTTTCTTGAAGAAAACGGGTATCGTAGGATGGGGTAAAGAGTGAGGGATAGTGATCTTCATCTTCTCTGTATTTCCTTAGAGGAACAGAATTAGGAGCTGACGTGTGGAAAAATCTCTGCTGAGAGCACGGACTCAATACGGCTGGCATCTTCATCATTCAAGGTCTGAAATGATCTAGTTCTCAGTAGAGAATCTGCAATAAAACACCTGGATTTTTCCTTCCTGTTCTACTTGGAAGGTTGTGGAGCTAAGTAAGGTGTGGATGCTGAACACACATCACAATTCCCTGGTGAAGCCATCGAAACCCTCCCTCTTCCTCATGCAGGCTGTGCACCAGTGAAGGAAAACACTGGTCCTGACTCTGAGCTAGACTCAGAGCCCCCGAGATCTGCCAACTGACCCCAGCTGAGCAACTAAGCCGCTAACAGGGTCCTGCACTAATAGGTCCAGAGAAAGTCAACATTTTGCAAGTTAATAGGGGTGATGTGTCATATATTTTAAGGAAAGGTGGTGGATGCAGGCATGAAAAAGATGACAGAGGAGCCCAACAAGTGGTGGTGTAGAGGGGTGTGGATCTAAGGGCTCCCATGGGATCTTCTGACCCTTGACAGTCAACTCGAACATCCATTCTGAGGTTCACTGTTCAGGGAGCAAAGTGGGCATGGACCAAGAAAAAGTCCATGTGGGAAAGATCTAGAGGTGAGGAAAAGCAGGAGCTGTGAGAAAGGGAAGCCTAACATGTGGAAATACTCATTCACAGATTCCTTTAAGAGGTGTTCAAAATGTTTAATAGCTTCTTGGCTTGGGTCTAACCAATCACAGGGCTGCCAGCTGTAAACTACCTACCAGGGCTATACCCATGCTTACCAGAATTTCAGACCTGTATGAATGTTTTACTCACCTTTTGGTATGTACAATATGGCTTACAGGTTTTGAAGGAAAAAAAATCCTTAGAGGTTTGTTCTGCGCTGTCAGAACTTTTTAGTCCATAGACTCTACAAAGACTGTCCCTGTGTTTTATTGAACTGCTGACATTACCTTTCTTATGCTACTCTGCACTAGAAGAATAAGAACCTTGTTTAATTTGAATCTCACAAGTGGCTTTAGCAGTCAGCCAAACCCAAGTTCAAATCCTGCCTTTGCAATTATTATTCTTGGCTAAATACACAATCTTTCAAAGACTCAATTTTTGAAAATCTATAAAAAGGGATGCTATTCCTGAAGCACAGGATTTTTGCAAGGATTACAATGGGGTTTCTTAGGTAAGTGCTCCAGATGGTGTCAGCTCTTAGGAGGCTTTCCCAGTGGTACCTCTGATAGTCAGTTATTATAATTTCAATAAGGGCTACTTGGTAATTAGGCATTTTTATATATGGAATAGTGGGTTTGGAGGTAAAATAATAGTCCAGACAAACAGCGGAATAAGTATGAATGTGCCAGAATACAGGCTTTTCTAAAACATTAAAAATGACCACAACAAAAATATCACAACTGAAATACCAATTATAGCACATTCTTACATATCTTGAAACAGGCCACTTAATAAATTCCATTTCTGTTATTCTGACTTGAGTAACCATATTTATGTAAAAACAGTTAAATTGGATTTAAGAATATTTCACAGTTGAGTTTTCACTGAATCAGCCACATTCCCTCCACACAATTACTTTGAAATGATAAAATTTTACTGCACATGGGAGATCAATTGTTGCAAAATGTTATACATCTGTAAAGCACTTTCACATACATTATCCCACTTAATTCACAAAGCTGGCATCCACCAATGGGGAAATAATTATCAGAAACTCCAAGGCCAGTCTAGTGTTTCAGTTTAAAAAAAAGTTCAAGAGATGCCCTACTCAAGCCCCCTCCCCTGACTCCAGCTGTTCCAGCTCATTCTTCTACTTTCTTGTTTCTGTGGAGAAGGAGATACTAGGGATAGAAGGAAAGAAGTGAGCACGGGGCAGCTCACAAAATGGAAGCAGAAGAGCTGGACGCTGGGGAGGGGCGGGTGGGCATGCAGTACAGACTGCCTGCTCAGTTATAACACCAAAAGACAAACTACCTGCCTCCAAGCACAAGCAGACGCTGAGGCCTGACTCAGCTATGGTTGCCCCAATTTTTGACCATGCATCACCAAGTTTTACCAAAGATTACAGCATAGGTCTCATCCAGCAACAGTAGAAGGTAGCCCTGCTTCAACTGGAGATAAAATTGTTAACATTTCTTCTAGAGAGGGGAGCTTTAGCTTCTAAATTCTAAAGACGAGCAGTAGAACAATTGCCGGGTGATTGTTGTCATAGTGTGTGTAGGGTGTGTGTATGTGTGTGTGTAGGGTGTGGCCCTACTGTATCCCCAAACAGTTCAATCTGAAAGAGCCCTCACATTCAAGGTTAAGGTAAGAGCTGTTTTCAGAAGAGCCAGAATTCCAGGGGCTTAGGGAACTTGGTGAATCACCACCCCTGGAAACAGCAGCTGGGCAAGGAAGTGTAGTGTGGGGAGCAGGGAGGAGTTTATTCAGATCAGCTAATCAATAAACACAGGGCTCTGTGCTGGCCAGGGGCAAGCCTCTGAAAGTGTTAAGTCAGCTTCTTTTCGGAGAGCACCATTCTTGAGTGAAGAGGAGCCAGGGATGATGGAAGGGCTCTTTAGACACAAAAAACTGGAAGAACTTAACTGGCAAAATTGAAGAGATCACAGTCTTCAGACAAAAGAAATGCAGTAGCTCTGAGATCGCCCCAAGACATAGGGTGCTAGGTTTATGTACATGTACCCACCACTTCCAAAAGACAAAGGTTTCCAAGCCAGATTGGCAAGGTGGACTAAGCCATCAAAATGCAGTTCTTTAATCATGTGGGAGCTTCTTAAACCCCAGACCATAATCACACTCTGACTTTTCACAGACTCTCCAGATGATGTGATGGACTGGCCTAACCCTTCCCCAGTCCCCCAGAGAGGTCTAGGATATTCAAGAGCCTATGCCATTGGCGGGACCCCCAGCTACACAGAAGCCTGCTAGCCAGCTTGAATCCTCCCTGACCATCCTTCAGAGTGACCGATTTTCCTTGGGCATCTTTGATTTCCTGGTGAAGACTAACCCTGATGGGTCTGGGATCAGTATTTTTTCTCCTATGATTCAAAGATAAATCCATCTTTGTACAAGATGAAAAGTGAGTGGGGCTGGGAGGCTGCTCATCATCTTGGTATGTAGTCTGTTTTGTGCTCATGAAAGAGCATGACCTCAAACTCCCTAAGGATAATGCAAAAATAAACCTTCTGCTGACCTCCTGTATCTAGAAGCAGCCTGGCCCTGTTGAGTGCCTCGCACTTCCAAAGGGCTGAGAAAACCGCAGAATGAAAGGCTGAGGACAGTCCCACCGCAGGCAGCCCTGCTGTGGGGAGCTAAGAAACCTCGGTCAATTGGGTCCTCAGGAGGCAAGCCCAGCAAGGCAGCTAAGTCTGTCTGTCTGTCTGTCCTTCAGAGGGGCTGCGGTACTCACGGGCAGTTCGGATTGTGCTGCTGGGCTGACTTCGAAGGCTGGAACCATGCAGATTCACGGCCCTCACAGCAAACTGGTAGTTGGTATCAGGATCAAGGCCCTTGATAACCATGGAATCCATCTGGATCTGCTCCTGGATTGAGGTCCAACTCTTGTCGAAATCTGGCCTTTATTGATTTAAAAAAGAAAAGAATGAGAAACAGTAGTTTAGGAATAGCAGAAAAAATGGAAGCTTGCTGGCTATGCAAACTAACAGCGTTTGAACACTGGAAGCAAGACTTATAAAAATGAGTGAACATTTCCTACCAAAAAGTCATCTTGATTTGACATCACAGGTAAAAATTTGCAGGTCCTTGCTGATAAATGCAAGCAGATCATTTTTAGGGCCAGTGTTCAGCGCTGTTTCAAGATCACTGGCTTTTCCTTGCGTGGCCTTGACTGTGAAGAAAAGATTCCTACATAGGAGTTTATTTTCAAGGACTCTGACTGCCAGATGTTTCATAAACAAGCCTTCCCCTCACAGTCCCTGTTCCCAGGGGTCAGGAGAGCACAGATTCTATCTATTCACAATCTGTTCGCAAAATAAACAAATATAAATTTTTAGGGCAACTAGTTGTGTGAACTGCCATGGGAAAAGCCAAGAAGACACTGTTCACAGCCATTCTCACTCTTCACAAAACTGCACAACTGTGCCAACTTGCTGAACGTTCACATGTCCTTCTGAGAACCCTACAGAGAGTGCAGACCTTGACTTAGAGCTTCCACCTAAGGGACAACATACAGGGGTTAAGAGAACAAATTCTGGAGCTAGACTGAGCCATTCAAATCCTGCCTCTGTTGATCACTAGCTGTTATTTTGCCTCTTTAAGTCTCTAGCTTCTCATCTGTAAAATGGGGTGATAAAAGTACCGACTTAAGAGGGCCGTCATAGAGGAGAAATGAGCTCTGTATCCTCAGCAACAGTGCCTAGCATTGTAACCGAGCAGGACCCTATGGGACCTTCCCAGTACAAGACCCCCCACTTCCCAATGTTCTCAGCCTGCCTTCTGGCTGTATAAAAACTCTGTGTGTGTGTTCAGTTGCTAAGCTGTGTCTGGTTCTTGGTAACTCCATGGACTGTAGCCCACCATGCTCCTCTGTTCATGGAATTTTCCAGACGAGAATACTGGAGTGGGTTGCCATTTCCTCCTGCAGGGGATCTCCCTGACCCGAGAATCGAACCTGTGTCTCCTGCCTAAATTTCCTGCATTGGCAGACAGATTGTCTCACCACTTGAGCCACCTGGGAAGCCCAGAAAAATTTTAGTCAAAGAATAAATGTAATCAGAGAAGTGAAAAAATGTAGAAAGAAAAAAAAAGTCAAATGAGATAAAATAATAGTAGCTAAGCCATTTAAAAAAGTCAAGGAATTTTAGTTCCCCCTCCAGGGCTTCCCTGGTGGCTCAGCTGGTAAAGAATCCTCCTGCAACGTGGGAGACCTGGGTTGATTCCTGGGTTGGAGAGATTGCCTGGAGATCCCACTGGCTACCCACTCCAATATTCTGGCCTGGAGAATTCCATGGACCATATAGTCCCTGGGGTTGCAAAGAGTTGGACATGACTGAGCAACTTTCACTTCACTTCACTTTAGGAGCTATAGATAATATTCTGAGCCATGTCCTTTGAGCTGTTTTGCAGCAACTGAAACTCCCACCAGGCGAAGATGTTAACTGTATGCTGCCCACAAGCACACAGATCCCAGACCATTTGGAACCAGAAGGTTGGTGATATTGACTCCTGATTACCTCACCACCAACCAATCAGAAGAATGTCCAGGAGCTAGCTGGTCACACAACCTATAACCCCTTCCCATACATGTTTAAAAACCTTTTCCTGAAAGTCTTCAGGACTTTTAAACACTAGCTACCCTGGACGCCTTGACTGGCTCCTGCAACAAACATCGCACTTCCCTTCACCACAACCCAGTATCCATGGATTGACTTTACTGAGCCCAATAAGAGGACCCAAGTGTGGTTCGGTAACATCATCATATAGTAAACGCTCAGCATGGATTAGCATTATTAAGGGAGGTACCCAGCTCACAGAACTGACAGGCAACCCTGGGCTACCTACTTACTCTATATACCTGTGAACTTCAATGCAGTAGCACTAGCCTAGGTGGCTAATCAGTACTTGAAATGCAGCTCATCTGAATTGAGAAGTGCTGTGAGTGCAAAATGGACAATGGAGTTTTTTAAGTGTAAAATATTTCATTAATATTTATATGGATTATGTGTTGAAATGATAATATTTTAGATTCAGTGGGTTAAAAATATATTATTGAAATTAATTTCCTTTGTTTCTTATTACTTTTTAAATGGCCATATTAAAAAACTTAAAATTTCATATAGGCTTGCATTTTCTAATGGATAGTGCTGTTCTATATGGACTTCCTAGTTGGAGGGAGAAAGGAGAGCTTTTCAGCTAGCGAGGACTGCAAAATAAAATTTGGGAATATTTGTGTATGACTGAGGGAGAGTGCAAATGGCCCAACTGGAATGGAGGATTTTTATTAATAACTATCAATAACTATCATTTATCATGTTCTTGTGAAGTATCAAGTATTTTTCTAATAGTTTAACTCATTTACTTCTCAAAATTACCCTATGAAGTAGGTATTAAAATTAAACATCCCTAGCTTCTTTGAAGAGGAAATTAAGGCACAGAATGGGTAAGTAACTTGCCTGAGGTTACACAGCTGAAATACGTGAGGCCTACTTGAGTTGATTGGAGAAGATGAGACTGAGATCTTTGATGCTGAATGAAAAATTGGGGTGATAGTGGTTGCAGGGGTTAGTCTCCATCTTAGTTTGCTCCCTGACCCACTCCTCAGCGCTTCAATTGTTAAACATTTCTGCTCACAGATATTTAGAGAAATGTGTATGTGCAAGCTCAGTTGTGTCTGACTCTTTGCGACCCCATGGACTGTAGCCCACCAAGTTCCTATGTCCATGGGACTTTTTAGGCAAGAATGCTGGAGTGGGTTGCCATTTCCTTCTCCAGGGGATCTTCTCAACCGAGGGATCAAACCCGCATCTGAACACTCATCTCCTGTGTCTCCTGTATTGGCGGGCAGATTCTTTACCACTGCACCACTTGGGAAGCCCCATTTAGAGGAAGGCAGGAAGCAAAAAGATTGACATCTGTCCTTTACGAACAACTTAATAGGCAAGCAAATAAACACTCATTTTGTGGAAAGGAGATGCGTGGACAGTGCATGGATTTCTCCAACATGTGCTCTCCTAGCTTTTCATTAGCAAGAATTGATGAGAGACAGATGGAGTCCTAAAGCCCAGTAAAGGTTGTCTCTGTGGGCTAACTGTGCTGATGAGGAGTTTATGGGGCTCATATCTCACAAGAATTCACATGTTCGGAGAAGCAGAGGTCACAGGGGATGGCCACTGGAGGAAGTAGGGCTCATTTCTCTTTCCACTTTCCTTTCCCTAAAGATGGACTTCTCATGTAAACAAACTCTGCCGTTGAAGAGAAAACCTTAGTGAGTGGAAGGAAACACATTTACAAACTCAAATTAAAACACAATCACTCTGCAAAGGAAAGTCATAGGGGATGCCCAACAGTAAAGTCAGGAAAGATGTGATCTTTAGATAAAACTCTCCTGTTATCCTTTGCTAAGCTTCCCTTGTGACATTTATAGAGGAAAGGACCTGCAACTGCTCTCAAAATGTGCCATTATCCACCCAAGGCTACCTGCAAATATCTGCAACAATCTTCACTGTTCAACAGTTTCCCAGTTCTCCCACCAAGAGACTATTTTGTATTTGTCCATTTAATGCAAGAAAGAAAGTCATATTTTCAGTGAATAAGAGACTGACATTATTAACATTTCATCTCATTGTACACACTGAGAGGAAAGCTCAGGTAGATTGAATAGCAACATTAACGTTAACATTTTGCCTCTGACTTTGTCATGAGTTTTGCATTTAAATGTTTGTAGAGTCTCTTGGGGGTACAAAAGGGCAAAGGTGAGGTTGAGAGAGAGATAATCAGGCAAAAGTATTGTCTTAGTGCATCCTCAAATAATAGCTTTATCTTTTTTCCGCTAAGTAAAATCATTGTATCCTAACTACAAAGTTGCCAGTCAAATCACCATAGCAATGTTAGCCTGCCAATTTCCCCAACCAGGAAAAGGCTAGAGGGGAAGATGTACACTAAGACAAGTTCTGGCATCCCAGGTAAAGATGGCTGCTGCTGCTAAGACACTTCAGTTATGTCTGACTCTGTGTGACCCCATAGATGGTGGCCCACCAGGCTCCCCCATCCCTGGGATTCTCCAGGCAAGAACACTGGAGTGGGTCAGCCATGAGCAAAGCAGGCACTTAAACACTTTCCCAGAGTGGGAAGGGTTGGGTTGTGCATCCTATATCTCAGGAGGCCAGTAAGACAACTTTGGAAGGTGGTTGGGCAGCGGAAGTCAGAGGGAACAGATACAATTCTGTCAGCAGTGACTATTCAAAACCCAGTTAGCTGACTCAAATAATCAAGACTCACTCATTGTTTGGGTAGGAAGAAGCATTGCCATTGGCAATGTTAGCATCAGCCTGGTTATCAGGAATCTTAGAGATTGTTTGGTCCCAGTGTCTAAGGGTTCTCAGAAATTACATGCAAGATTCTATGTGTGAACATCATTTCATTTTCCTAAGTAAAGGGTCCTCAGTCACTTCTCAGATTCTCAAATATAATCATGATCCCCAAAATTTTAGAAGTCACTGTCTAGTCCAGTCTCTCTTTCTACCCATGTAGCTACTAAAGGAAAATAATTTATCCAAGGTCATAAAACCACAGGGTGGTATATATTTCTGTTTTATTTCCTTTCGTTGGCATTTTGACCACCTTGACTATTGCCGAGTTCACCCTTAGTGGACAATCATTTTTCTTGGTATCATCAAACCCAGTGGGTGGCTGCCTTGGGCTACACACTTGGCAAGTGATTAATGGTTATCAGCCATGCATCCATCAAGGAAGCTATATTCCGGGAGGCTCTAAGGAACTATAAATACAGTTCCATTTTCAGAGAGTTTATAACCTAATTGGCAGATAAGACATTTAAGGACCAGCAGGAAGCCAGTGCAAAGTCACATATTTTGAGAGCTATATTTTTGAATGGGTCA